TGTACAGTTAGATTCTCAGTCTAAGACTGGTGGAAACTAATAATTTGAATCCTAATCAAGGACCTAAGAACCAGGGGTGGGTTCTACTTACCTTTACTACCGGTTTGCAACGGGATCGCGCGTGTGCCAAGCTTCTGCGCAGGCGCAGAAACTTCTGTGCATGCACAGATCACCTATGATGACATCCGGGGCGGTGGGTGGAGCCTCCTGCCGGTTCTACTACTGGTTCTTGTGAACCGGTCTGAACCGGGGCAACCCACCACTGCTAAGAACTATCAAGTGTCTAAGAATATAGGCAGGTCCAAGAAGACTGGTTTTTTTGTAAAATCATGCTGTTCAGGTCTGATAAATTCAACTTTCTGGATATTGAAGAAATCCTTTCTAGACATTAAAGTATCACTTTATTATTATTGTGGTTAATTGTTCATTACCAGGATGGTTAGACTGGATTTGGCATTTTTATCCATCTGCCAAGTCCTTCCCAAGAACCTGGGATGGGTTACATGTTTGATGGTATTAGAGATCTCATTGCAGGATGTAAGCTGTTTCAAATAAAGCTGCTTTTTGCAATTGACTGATGGTGAATTTGTCAATGCTGATGGTGTTTTAAGTGGTGCTCCAGTTGTTTTGGAATTGCACCCAAGGATCCTATACTATTGGTTCTACCTTTGGTTTCTTTTGCCACAATCATTCTATTTCTATCTGTTGGTCTTTATATTTTGTTATCTTCTCCAGTTATTTCTTTTATTCTGTTCTCTCCAGATGCTGGCATGTCCACTATCCAGACCTTTTTTGGTCTTTCTTATTAACAATGATTAAGTTTGAGATCTTATGTGGCAGGGGCATGTCTGTTTGAATTCTAAAGTCCCAAAGTACTTTAGCTTCATTTATTATCAACATATTAAAAACAAAGCTAAAAAGAAGAAATAATGGGTGAAGAGATGTTAATAATAATGGAGCCTCCTCACTAGAACTATACAGCAATGCTATAGGCATGGTTATTATTATAACCGTTATTGTAGGTTATAAGACAACAGGAACACATTTATTTAAAATCTGTTCCACAGAATAACTCTCTCAAGATTCATATCTTATTTTCATCAGTAGCCTTGGGGTGTATCCATCATCCAATTGTATTCCAGCTGCATTAACAAATCACTTAATGCGGAAATCTAAAATTATACAAGAGGACAACAACATGGACAACAATTACTTTTTGAGAGACAATGCTCAAAATTTTCATGAATTCTGTTCCCATTAAACAATGCAGAAACCATAAAGATCTGCTTGATGCATCAACTATCCCATTCTGTTCTTCATTTTTCTTTAATTTGATCTCCTTGGCTCTTTGGCTACAACTAGAAGTCTTTCACTTTTTTGTTTCATTGGATAGAATAAACTTTTCCCCTACAAAAATTCATTCCAACTTTAGAAAGCCTACAAGAACTATGTCCTCATCAGAGATAGAACCTGGAGACATTTGACCGTGGGTTTCAGCACTTGCAAAGAGAAAAGAGGCATGAACCTTACTAATTCTAGACTCAAGGAACCTGTGGTCCTTTTTGAAGCCTCAAATGTCTATGTAGCTGAGGATATGGAATGATCAGATTCTAAATCCAAGCTATTACATAATGGAAGAACAGTATCCTTCAGTGTTATTGTTCAAAAGGATGCACATAAATATTCCTTTAAATTGGAACTATTATGCAAAGTGATTCACATCTACCTTATATGAAACTCATTGTCAGCTGTCTAGCTGGTGAATCCAGAAAAAGACACTCTTGGGACATTATTTTATAAACTTTACTGAATAAATCCACATTGGCACAGAAGAAGCGAAGCTAGCTCTGGGCTTCCTGTGCAAATTCACACATAGTTCATTTCCCCACAGACCACCCCACAGTCCATTATATCCACCAATCATTTCTGTTCGTTTTGATTTGGGAATCAGCTGATCACACTGTGGCATCTGCTCTGGGTGTCCTTGAAGGGGGTGCAATGTCTCATTGGAAACAATGATGCTTGGAAGCCATTTCCCCCACCCTTGTATTCCAATCCACCCACCCACCACCACCATTGTTTGTCAAGCTGTGACCAAAGTGGAATATAGGCAAAAGTTTGAGTCAGTTTTGACATATTTCATTTACCAGATGAAAAAAATGAAAAAAATGCTTTGCTGATATTTATCTGTAAATATATTAGTGTAAATTATAAGACCCTGCATTCATTTTAGCTATTTTTGCATTGTGAAACTTATCAATAACATGCATACTAAAAAGGATTCACAGTAAAAAAAGAAGTGCATCTCCTGTAACTGAAAGACAATTTATTGCTGCATAATAAGCAGGTAACGAGGAGGCATCAGCAAGCATCTCAATAGCTCATAGGCTTCTTCTAAAACAATATGCATTATATTAGCCTTCCCTAGGCACTTACAATTATCTAGGATAGTGTACAGCATATAACAACAAGGATGGGAATAATTGCTAGATATGAATGAGGAGGTACAAGTGAGGTTTTAGCCCATACAATGACCACCCATCACATATGCTCAAATGTACATTTTAAGTCCTTAATAAGGTGAAATAGAGTTGTGATGGGAGTAGAAAGCCTTTAGCTGACCTGAAAACAAGGGCTTCCACAAAGGGTGAAATGCTGTCGGTTCGTACAAGGTTCAGCTGAACTGGTAGCAGTGGCAGCGCATGGTTTGGAGAACCGGTAGCAGCGGCAATGCGAGGCTCCACCCACCTGCCTGGATGTCGTTACTTCCTTTTAACTAGGAAGTAACCTGTTTTTGATCCTTTGCGCATGCGCAGAAGGCTTTGCGCATGCGCAAAGGGTCCAAGCGCGCACTTCCAAACCGGTAGGGAAGGTAAGTAGATTTCACCCCTGGTTCCCACATTTGGGTCAAAGGGCTTTGAATGGCATGCTGGGATTTGTGCTCAAAACAAGGTCTGGGACTTACATAAATGGGAAAGTTCAGAACAACACCTAAATTTTAACTAAATTACATTTTATTTATTTACTGAAATGTTTCTGTAATTATATTGACATCCTCCCCATGAATTAAGACATTTTCTCAATATGGTAGTGACATTTGAAGAGATTCTTGGAGCTCCTGAGAAGTTCTTGTTCAGCCCTGTTCTGAGAGAAGCCTCAGAAGTAAAACCTTGCCAATTTATAAGAGTTGGCTTTAGTTAAGACCCTATTAGAAGCTTTCATTTGTAGCACTTATTTCAACTGCATATATAAAGAAATTGAACTTCATATATTTAGAATAAGACTGCTCTTTAGAAGGCCAGATCCTGAAGATGACACTCAAATACTTTGGCCACCTAATGAGAAGGAAGGACTTACTGGAGAAGAGCCTAATGCTGGGAAAGATTGAGGGCAAAAGAAGAAGGGGACGACAGAGAATGAGGTGGCTGGATGGAATCATTGAAGCAGTAGGCATGAGCTTAAATGGATTCTACAGGATAGTAGAGGATAGGAAGGCCTGGAGAAACATTGTCCATGGGGTCGCGATGGGTCGGACATGACTTCGCAACTAACAACAACAAATATTTAGAACTCTTCAGAACTCTACCTTCAGATGATTAGGGAGAAGGAGATATTTTTAAAGATGGGCCCATAGCAGCACATGTTAGTAGAAAGGGTATTCTGTAAGATAGGAAGACTAGGTTCCAGCTTTTACATTTTAATGTGTTTGTGTATTTCCAGGAAATAAATATTAATGACTTCCACAACTAATGTCTCAAAGCAGTGAGACGAGAAAGTCATGAAAAATCCAGGCCTCTAAAACTGTAAACCAGTCAATATGAGTTAAATATTCTCTCTTTTTTCCAAATAGTAAAAGGAAAAGAATAATATAAGATGTCATAATCATCACCATTGAAAGACTAGAACAGGAACTGAAGGACCATTGGCTCCTACTTCATAATATTAGGAAATCTAGCACTATGCTGGTAAACATTTACAGAATCTAGTAAATCAGATCATGCTGTACTTCCTCTGTCTTCTTATACTTCATTGAATTAGAGACATGTTTACCTGAATCATATCTGAATGTTATCTTGTTCTTTCTGGACTTATAAAATGCTTCAGCCCTTTTTCCTTAGGTAACAGTTCCCAAATATCTCTACCAAAGTTGTTTTCCCTGCTCTGTGCAGCTATTAACAGAGCCACTCAGACATCAATCCTTTAAAAGCAGAGTCATATATAATCAACATCAGATTGTCCCATCATGAGAGAAGGATGGATTCCAGAGGATGGAAACTAAGGTGGAAGCAAACTAAGGCAGATTCAATGCTATTTGAAGAGTTTGCTCCTGAAGAAAGAAAATGGTAGCTTTTCCATTCTACCTGTAGGTCAAGTAATTCATAAATACTCCATTAAGGCAGCTACCAGGGCAAAATCAGCCAGCATCTGAGGACAAGGCATCATTTATTGGACAAACTATATGGTATGTATCGTTCTGTTCTTCTATGTTTTCTTATTCCTTCTTCACCAGTGGTGGGTTGCCCCTGGTTCGTACTGGTTCTATAGAACCGGTAGTAAAACCAGCAGGAGGCTCCGCCCACCAACCCCGATGTCATCAAAATGCTTCTGCGCATACTGCGGCCCCGTTGCAAACTGGTAGTAAAGGTAAGTAGAACCCACCCCTGCTCTTCACCATTTCCTCTTGGAGCAACTACATCGCTTACCAAATGGCGGGATTGGACTGGTGAAATGCAAGAAAGGTAAATGGAAGAATAATCAAGATTAATTCATTCAATTGTGAAGAAAGATCAAAATAGAGCTGTGTTTCTCAATCTTGGAAATTTAAGAAATGTGGATTTCAACTCCCAGAATTCCCCATCTAGCATGAATTCTGGGGTTTAAAGTCCAGATGTCTTAAAGTTGCCAAGAAACATTGAAGTAGAGTAATTTGCCTTTAACATTTAATATACAATCCTGAAAAGCAGAGATAAAATACACACACACACAGTATGCTTGCTTACCCAAATCTGTAGCTTAATTCTTTTTTCATTTTTGAAGACTGTTTTCACTTTGAAATCGATCCCAACAGTGCTTACAAAAGCTGAGGTAAAAGAATCATCAGCATAACGGAATAAGAAGGAGGTTTTCCCAACGCTGCTGTTACCAATGATGAGAAGTTTGAACATATAATCAAAGTTCTGATCTGATGTCTCCTTTTGGCCGTATCGGGTATCTTGCGCAGATGCCATCTGTAGATTGCAGATGAGGATAGAGAGAGGGTTTTTTTAAAAAATAAATAAATAAATGTTATGTTTGCTTCATGTAACTTCAAAATGCTTATCTTTTCACCAGCCTTCTCAGCACTATGGGCCCAAGTATTTGTGTAGAAATTGAAGGAGATCTTATGATATTCAAATAATACAGATAAACATAGTGAATATTTTGGTTCCAGAAAATCAGTGGCAACCCTCCTCTCCACAAGGGAGCAGTGCTAATTAATTTTTGTTAACCAGAATTGAAATCCAGCAGATTCTGACAGGTTCTGGAGAACTGGTAGCGGAAATTTTGAGTAGTTCAGCGAATCGGCAAACACCATCTCTGGCTGGCCCCAGAGTGGGGTGGGAATGGAGATTTTGCAGTATCCTTCCCCTACCATGCCTACCAAGCCACGCCCACCAAGCCACGCCATGCCCACCAAGCCACGCCCACAGAACTAGTAGTAAAAAAATTTGGATTTCACCACTGCTGTTATCCAAATGGCCAATATTGTGTATATTCACAGAAATGTTTTTAAGCATTCCTAAAATAGCAGCCCAACCGTTAGAATCAATTGCTATGAAAAGGAGAAGAATTCTAGTGCCTAGGCCAAAGAAGATGAAATGACAAAAGAACTGAAAAAGCAGAAAGAAAAAAAATCTTGCTTAGCTTTGTGAATTTTCTCCATTCCATCTTGTTGTATTATAATCTTGTTATACCAAATTGATATCCTGCTTTCCCCTCCAGGAACTTAAAATGGTGTATACATAGTATAATTCTTTTGGGGTGGGGGGTGGGGCAGGCTTTGAGTAATGTATTGGGATTGTAATTTTAAAAGTAGGTAAGGACAGGAGGGTGAGCAAATATGGGACAATAGCTATATATAGCTAAATTTCAATTGGATTATAATTGCATTATATTCATGTTATTTTTTTTACTTTAAGTTTATATGTCTTTCTATTGCCAAAGACACAATGGCATATAAATAGAAATACATGAATGAATAAATAAACAAATAGCACATTATAGCTGTTGTTGATACAGTTAATAAAGATATGAAACGTATTCAAAAGAACTTCATGAAGAATTATATTTAGAATATTGCTACCAAGAACAAAAAAAATAGAAGAATAGCTGTCATCGTTAAATGAGTCTTTCTAATAGATTGCCTCTGGGTATTTAGAGTTTAAATTTATGTACATATGTATAAGTACATCCATCTGCCAGGACAAAAGATTCTGACTTTTAACTTAGCCAGTAGGAACTTCAAATATATGTATTTTGTTGTGACCTTGCCGAATGTTCACTCAACTTTGGTTAATTCCTGCCACTGTTGAACTTATACCCTAAATATGTGAATTTCTGCTCTGCTAGGGAAAAAAATCATAAAAATTCTTCACTATGATGGAAATGAATTTGGTATTATGTTTTTAAAAAACAGGAGAACATTGTAGTAAACCTCTAACTCAGGGGTCTCCAACCTTGGCAACTTTAAGACTTGTGGGCTTCAACTCCCAGAGTCTTAAAGTTGTCAAGGTTGGAGACCCCTGCTCTAACTGACTGGGAAATTTGGTGACTTGAAGTCCAGATATCTTAAAGTTGCTAACTAAGGTTGAAAAACACTATTCTAATGGATAGTATGTAGAGTTCTTGCACTTGCTATAAGTGTTAGATGTCTTCCTGCCTTTTATTTATTTATTTTTCCAATGATGATCTATATCTTCATTGGCTTCCCACGTATCAATCAATAGTCCTAAGTGAAAACATAATAAGGAAAGCCTCCCATGGTGCTTTTTCAGTCCAAGAATATGGGCAATCAGGGAATTTGATCTCCATTAAGAGTGTACAAACTAGGCTGAATCCAATATGAAATGTCAGTCTGACCTGACAATTCAGAAACCTGTTTGAAGTATTGAAGCAGATAGTTTGTTTCCTAAATCAAATGCCTCTGCCTTAATATCAGTTATCCAGCTAATATTATACCAAAGGAGAACTGGTATAGCAATACAGGACGATTGCTTTGCCTTGCCCAAATGCCAAGACAGACTCAAATAGTGGGGGCTAGGCAGTGGTGGGTAGCTCCCGGTTCGGACCGGTTCTATAGAACCGGTAGTAAAACCAGTGGGAGGCTCCGCCCACCGACCCTGACATCATCAGAACACTTCTGTGCATGCGCAGAAGCTTTTGCGCATGCACAGAAGAGCGCGCACAGCCCCGATGTGAACCGGTAGTAAAGGTAGAACCCACCCCTGCGGCTAGGTAATTAAAGAATAGGTCTGCCATGGTATGGAAACACAGGCTCATAAAAAAAAGTTGTAGGCTGCCCAGTGGTTTTAATCCAAAAGACCTAAGGACCGCATTAGAGTGTGAGCATAGCCCCTGTCAGTCTGCAGTTGTATCTTTTTAGCAGAATCATATGGCAGCTGCTTTAAAGAGTCATGCAGTGGCCTAGAGGGGAAGCTCTTGCCTCACAATCAGGGGGCTGTGAGTTCTACCCTAGGTAGAGGCAGATATTTCTCTTTCTGGGCACAATGAGTACTGTATATATCTGCTGAACAAAACTCTGCATTGGCGACAGGAAGGGCATCCAGCTATTAAACACTCTGCTAACTCCATTCAGTTGCTCAGACTCCACCCCGCAAGGGATTATGGGGTTGTTAAAAAATGATGATGATATGGCAGCTGCTTTAAAGAGTTTCAGATAGAGGCTACATTGTTCTCTGAAGCAGCAGGCCGAACTGAACCTGAAACAGAGCACAGCCATAGAAAACACAGTCCTTTGAAAAGGGTAGGTGGAAATTATGAATGGCATTTTAGAAAACATATTAACTTAAAAACGTTCATATCCTTCTTTCTTCCATGAAGCTCTAGGAGTCATAGTTTATTCCTTACTCTCATTTTATCTTTGTAACAACCTAGGAAGATAGTTGAACTGAATGGATGCAATTGACTTAAACTTGGCCTACACCAATGAAGATTTGAACCTAGTTCTCTTCATTTCCAGTCCAACAGAAAGCCAATAGAATATCCCTGTACCGATGGGAATGAATAGCTGATAGTGATATGAAGTATCCTGTTGTCAGCCTTTAAACCCAGACTTTGAGTTTTCTGCTATTACAATACGAATGCTACAACATAAAACACAATTTCAAGCCGGTGATATTTTTCAAATGCTATTGAGGCTTTTCAGTCCTTCTATGTGTAATTGATCCTCTCAGCCTCCTTTTTGAAAACATTTCTTAACTGGTAACATCTGCTTTCATTGTTGCGAAATTGGGGTGCTTGACTTTTATTTGCAGACAAGTGCAAAACATTTTAAAGGAGAGGTTTTCAGTTCTCTATATATATTAGGATTCAGGAACTACTATTGTTATCACTACACTGAAATACACTGTCACTCATTTCTTTTATGGAATGTAGCTACAGTATTCCCATTTTAAAGGTTGTGTTGACTTGCTTTTCTCCAATGATTAACAATTGTGTTGGGAATATCAGGATGGAGCTGAGTTATAATAATAATATGCATTAACTATCCATTTGCCTGTTTGAATGATGTTTGGACTTTTATATGCATGGACAGAAACTGACTGCACAAATATGGATGATTGGATGGTTATCTATAAACCCATTTTTAGGACTCTGTGGCTGAAGGCACAATCAGAATCTGGAAGGGATATTTCAGGATGTGGCGAGGAATATTTTTTTCATTGAGGTAGTTAGAACGGCCTGTTCATACATGATAGATATGACTAGCCATTAAACAAATATTGATCAGAATAGTCAGTTGACAATATTTGCCATTTTTTCTTAGATCCCTGAAATGTTCTATATCTCCCAGCTTCTTTTTCAATGCTGGAAAAGTGGCAATATTTTGAAAGTAGTCATCAATTACTTATTTTGTTTTGTTGAGGATCCAGAGGTTTCTTTGTTAATGCATTGGTCTGCCACATGCCAAGTTCCAGGTTTTTATTTGCAATTTAAAAGATTCTTTCAAAAAAAGATTTTTTAAAAAGATGAGACAAAGGTCTTGAAGATGATCAAAAAGATGCTCAGATCATCATATTGTCTAATTCTGAAAAAGGATGTGTTAAGTAGACAAAGAATGATTCCTTGAAACTATCACATGCAAGCAGAGGAAGTCATGGTAAAATTAATTTCATGATTAAGTATATTATATTGTATTATTGTACATCTTCTGCAGTGACAGATATTTTCTTGCTTATTGATTGGTTTCCAGTTCGGTTCAGGATGATGGTTTAAAACTTTAAAACTTTGATCTGCGTGGTAAGTGGTAACAAGGGACAATTTGTCTCATTATCATGTTGCCTGGATGTTGAGACTTATAGCTAAAACTCTCTGTATAACACACCACTTGCAAAGGCTTTGCAGCTAAGTCTGCAAAGGGTGGTTTCCTGAATTGTTTTTTCTCAGACTATTATCACACATGATCATGTTGATCATGCAGTCAGCCCACCAGCCCTGGCTCTATGCTTTCCTATTTAGGCACGTTTTTGAGGCTGGGCGCATGCATGGAAGTGCACATGTGAGCAAAATGCATGCGTGGAAGGCCAAATGCATGTGTGGAGGTGGCGCATGCCAATGGTGGGTTTCAAATTTTTTTACTACTGGTTCTGTGGGCGTGGTTTGGTGGGTGTGGCGTGGTGTGGTGGGCGTGGCTTGGTGGGCGTGGCAGGGGAAGGATCTCCATACCCACCCCACTCCAGAGGAAGGATACTGCAAAATCCCCATTTCCTCCCAATCAGCTGGGAATTTTGAGGCAGAGAATAGATGGGGGCGGGGCCAGTCAGAATTTTTACTACTGTTTCTCCGAACTACTCAAGATTTCCGCTACCGGTTCTCCAGAACTGGTCAGAACCTGCTGAAACCCACCTCTGGCACATGCACTCACATTTTTGGTGCTGGGTAAATTATGTGAATCCCATCTCTGTTCCAAACACTTGCACAACTTTGATAACTGTTCCACTGCTCTGAA